GGGGGGGTTCTTCCCCTTCCTGGATTACTCGTTGTGTTGTAGTCTTCTCTAGACTGCCTTGTCCTAGCCATTGTTCCCACTCTGCTTTCTCCTCCCCTTTCACTTCTGGTTTGTGTCCTGTCAGGAGGAGGCTCCCTGGCCACTCTGCCTTAGCTCCACATTTGCTGTGTGGGACCTGCTGACTTCTCACTTCTCTCTTTGTTCCTCCGCAGATGAGGCTGTGGCAGCCAGCAGTGCTGGGGAGTTCAAAGCCAGCTCAGAGCAGCCCCTGCTGATGCCCACATGAGGAAGCAGTGCCATTTAGTTCTCCTGGGACACCACAAAGCAATATGAAACCTGCTCATGAGAGAAGCCAGGAATGCCTTCCCCCAAAGAAACGAGACCTTCCAGTCACAAGTGAGGATGTGGGGAGGGTAGCCAGCTGCTCTACCAATCACACGCCGGTGAGCGATGCCCCAGAGTGGTGCAGGAGCGTCGTGGTGACTGGGCAGAGCCAAGCACCGTTACGATATGGCCTTGGCAGTGATGGTGCTGAAGCAGTAGCTGGCCTGACTGTGGATCAATATGGCATGCTATACAAAGTGGCTGTGCCTCCAGCCACCTTCTCTCCCACTGGCCTCCACCCAGTTGTGAACATGAGTCCTCTGCCCCCTAGCTTTAATGTAACCTCTTCCCTGATCCAGCATCCAGGGATTCCATATTCCCCCATCCACTATGCTCAGATTCCCTCTACGTCTCTTCAGTTTATAGGGTCACATTACACAGTGCCCTATGCTGTGCCCCCCAGCTTCCTCCCTAGTCCTCTTCTATCACCTTCTACCAACCTCACCACCTCTCATGTTCCCCGTTTTGTGCCATATGCCTCTCTTTTTACAGAAGAAGCCACTCCTTCCCCCCAGACTACCTCTCCTGCCCATGCTTTCAGCAAAGCTGCCGCTGTCATCTCCCCTTCAGGCCAAATGCAGCACCATGCTGGAGTCCAGCCACTGGACATCACACAGAGTAGAGTTCCTGTCTATTACCAGATGTCTCGGCTCCCACCAGGGTATTCAGCATATGAGACCACCACTGTAGGGGGAAGCCCAGATCCTCCTCTGCAAGAAAGTCAACTGAGTTCAGAGGTAGCCTCTGCCAATGGTGGACAGAGACATCTGGAGCATAGTGTGGTGAGGAGGACCAGTGAGGCTTTGGCCTCTGCCAGCAATAAAGCTGAAGGCCCGCAGCCTGGGGCTGCAGTGCAGTGTGTGGTGGATGGACAGCTCTTTTCAGGTTATCAGACTCTGAGAACAGAGGACTCTGTGCCAGCTCACAGAAGCACGCCAGACACTGACTTGGAGGTGCAGAGAGTGGTTGGGGTGTTGGCTTCTCAGGATTACTCTATTCTGGCAGCCCAGAGAAAGGATGGCCTGAGCCCTTTAAACCTTTGCCATAATATCCCTGATCAGCAGGGGGAGTCAAGGGGCTTGCTGAGGAACCCAGTGGAAACAGCTGAGAAAAGCCAGGCCAGGAGTCCATATGTGATGTCCCCTGAGGAGCCGGTTAGACACAGACAGTTACCCAAAGGAATGGTGGTAGCCAATGGCAAGCCAGTCTTGGTGCGTATTGGGTCTGAGCCCATCAGGTCTTCTGCTTCAGAAATCCTGATGAGACAGAGTCCAGATGCACAGACCCGCGGAAGCTCGCGTGACAAGGACTCAACCCAGTTGCAGCCCCCCAGCTCCTCACATCTGCCCTCCCATTTCATGAAAGGAGCCATCATACAGCTGGCCACAGGGGAGCTGAAGAGGGTGGAAGACCTGCAGACCCAGGACTTTGTGCGGAGTGCTGAGGTTAGCGGGGGCCTGAAGATTGACTCCAGCACAGTGGTGGATATCCAGGAGAGCCAGTGGCCTGGGTTTGTCACATTGCATTTTGTGGTTGGGGAGCAACAGAGTAAAGTGAGCATTGACGTACCCCCCGAGCATCCCTTCTTCGTGTATGGCCAGGGCTGGTCCTCCTGTAGCCCGGGGCGGACCGCTCAGCTCTTTGCTCTGCCCTGTCACAGGCTGCAGGTGGGCGATGTCTGCATATCAATCAGTTTACAGAGCTTGAATGGCAACTCTGCTTCTCAGGCTAGCTGCCCTCTTGCAGGCCAGCTGGTGCCTACCAGAGAGAGGCCCGAGAGAACAGGTCAGGGGCCCAGAGAGCCATCTGACCGAGCCAGTGAGAGGAAGAATCAGACAGAAAGGGACAGTGCAGCCCAGATTTCCTGTACAGAGTCCTCCCAGCCTGACCCTGGTGCTCAGCACTGCTGGACAGCCCCAGGCTTCCAAAGATACAGCATGCAGGGGGAGGAGTCTCGTCCGTCCCTGCTTCGTCCCTCTTTCATTCCACAGGAGGTCAAGCTGTCCATCGAAGGGCGTTCTAATGCAGGGAAGTGAGCTCTTTGAGGCCACGACCTGGGATGTCGCCCATGAGTGAGCCTCACTTCTTTCAGGTGGAGAATTTGCACAGACTGAGTGGTGGGTTCACCAGCCCGGCTGCTCGTTGCCGTGCAGAGCTGGATTTGTTCCAGTTCAATTGTTGATCATTGAGGAATCTAGAGGGCTCCAGTCCTCAGGGAGCAGCAGCAATGGGCTAACTAAGGATGGAGGACAGGTGATGTGGTCGTGATCGTGTGACTAGAAGCATTCCAGAGGTTGGGACTTTCACACATCTGTCTTAGTGCCTGAGTTTCCTGCAGGGCAGGGTCTGAGCATTCAGGATGGGTGGGGGAGTCAAGAAGAGCAGACCCAAAAAGCCACAGTTTAAGGTAGCAGATAAAATGTCTGAAGTTCTTATTCCTCTTTTCGTGGTGGGAAGGGGTGAGTCCTCACTGGGATTCAGGGGACACTGCTCTCAGCACCCGCTTTCTTCACACATGCACTTTAAAAGGAAACTTCTTCACAAATGGAGCTGTTTGTGAGGTGCGGGGGAGATGCAGGAGCTGCTCTGGTGGCTTCTGCTTGATGTGTCTCCTCCACTGAATCCTATTGGGCTTTCTTCTAGCAAAGCATCTGTAGAAAGAGACTGCAGTGAATATTAGAAATTGGAGAGGAAGGTCCTAGAGGATGGGTAGGGAGTGATTGAACAGGGAACTGGGGAAGGGCCTATGGCAGCTGGAATAGGGCATGAGTTGTAGTTGGTTCCCCGCTATACAGATACCTACGTAATTATTTGTCACCAAAGCTAAGTCTAATTATAGCATTTCCTAGTGGTAATTGCTGTAATAAAGGTGATATGAAGACTGCATTTTAAAGCTTTCTTCACATGGTCATAACTTCCTAAAAAAATCTCCTTTTGGGCTTAAACTTTCCATTCTTGGATTCAGATTGTAGCTGAATTTTTGGGAGGAAAACTGAGCCAAAATGCTTTTAAGTTGCTCTTTAGATGAGGATGAAAATGTATTCTTCCACTGTGAAAAGACTGACACTTGTGTGCATCAATAAATCAAAATTGGCTGAACTACTCCAGACAAAAACTTTCCAGGTGGCTAATTGCTCCTTCCAGGGTAATTTGTTTAAATATAACAACTATAAACGAGAGAAATGTGTGTGCAGGCATGATACAAAATTTCCACTAAGTTTAGAGTCTCTCTACTAATCACAGGACTATGGAATAACATGCGCAATATCTTTGGACAGTTTCATAGGTGTCCTTTTACACTGGATGCTCTGGTGCTTCACTGTGGAGTTCCACTGCAGAACTACACAGTGAAATTGAGAGATGAGTCTTTTTCTTAAACAATGATGTGTAGAACAGTTTAATACATTATTATGGTAATAACACTCCGTCCAAGTGAAAGTACTTATATTCACACTAACTTGCTCTCTCTGGACATTCTTAGTATCAAGTCACCCCTGACTGCACAAGAAGAAATCCAGAATAGGCCAACCAGGTGGTGAGAATGAGAGAACCTTCACTTTGGCATATCCTGACTTTTGAGTATTCCTCATTGTATTACAGTCAACAGTTTTTGTATTCGGAACATGCCTGCGTAGAGGTGTTAGTATCTTTGAGGAGTGCATGCACCTCAAGCTTCGAGCTGGGTTCCTGATGGTGTCTCACTCCAGTTCTATTTCGCATCTTCTTGCTTTCTCTTCCTCTTGTTTTTTCCTCAATTTCCATCTTCCCAAACACTGCTCCCTGGAGTGCTTGGCTGTTGGGCGCTATTTTTATTCTGTCTCCCTGAGTAGCTTGGGTATCAATGCCTCCAGCTGGTGAACAGTCTCTGCACCTTTTATCTTCCTCCACAACCTTTATTGTTCTGCTGAGCTTGCAGTAGTTGTGGCTCCTAACAGATCAGTGTTTGTCCACATTCCCCTTGACGTGCCTCCTAACCGAGTTGGCACTGGTGTATGTGCACTATGTGGGAACACTGTGTCTTAGGCTTAGAGAGTCCCCAGAATGTTCCTTCCCCCGGCACATCTACCTGTCTCTCTAGTGCTGGTATCCCCCGAACGCTCTTGGCAGGTTATTCTATCGCCACCGTTGAAATGTCTGCACTTGTCTCTTCCCACCCCCCACCCCCCAAGGCAAACAGGTGCTTTCCCTGTCTTGCTCATGGGTTGGTCTGATGTCAGGAAGGTGCCTGGACCTGTGGCAATGTAGCCTCACCAGGCCTCTTCCAGAGCAGAGATTCTAGCTGTCTTCACTTTTCTCTGGGCTCTGGATGCATAATCTGCAGCTCCCTCTGGCCAATAAGCAATTTCTAGTTAGTCCCTTTAGTAAATTTGAAAGACTAAAACCAAAATAACACTTTCTTCCTGGGAAACTTTGGCCTCCCTTGGTTGCAGCAGCAGAGAGGACAGATGTTTGCACAGCACCTTTTGGCTGTAAAACAGATTGGCCAAGTTCTAGGTGCTTGGCCTCTCATCACACTTCTTCCCTGCTGTTTCACCTACTTGCTGCTTGCTTGACTCTCCTGCATGAAGATCTTGGTTGTTACACTGGCTTGTCCTGAGTAGCCTGCATGTTGGATGTAGGCACAGGGCAAAGGAGCCAAGGGGTAGTTTTCTGTAGTGGGTTGATAGGTGAGGAGGAGGTTATGGCAGGTACACATGCATCTTGGAGTAGAAATGTAAGGGGGCTGGTTGTGTGCATGGAGGGAGATTACTTGAGCAGTTGAATGGTGCAGACCCCTGCCATGTGCCTCACTAAATACAGGAGCCTCTTTGTCCCTCTTAGAAAGGGGTTTTGAAGAGTCTGCTTCATAGTGGGGGATGTTACTGTGTCTGCCCCCTTCACTGTGCTCTGTCAGCCAGCTAAAAGGGTAGGCGCAGTTGCTTTCCAAGCCAACTACAGCTAGGCTAAAATGTAACTTCTGTGCTCCCCACAGTTTGCTCTGTCACCTTTCTCCACCTGACTACCAGTCTGTCCTGCTGCCTGCTTGCATATCTATGGTAAGCAGTGCTGATGTAAGCTCAATGGAGGAAGCCAGCGGGAGTGTGGCCTTTCTCAGTGCTTTTCCTCTTCTCTCCCTCTGACCAATCCCACAGTTCAGCAAGTAAGTTCCAGCTGTCACTCTTCTATTCTGGGCCCTTACAGCAGCACCGAGACCACATCCAAAGGGTAGTACCGAATGAAGGATGTAGGATACTGGACCCTTGCCCCAGAGGCAGGTAACAGAAATGAAGCACAGAAGCTGCCAGGTCCCCCGACAGTCAGCAGAATCTCCCCTAGCTGGTTATGGGATGCTATAGTGGTAGTCTGTGTGTTGGCTGGTGTCAGGAAAGTCTGGAGGTAGTAAGCAGGGCTTTGGAGCGGAGCCTGGAGCTGGAGCAGTGGAGCTGCAGGTTTTTGCCTGGAGCTGGAGTGGAGCCGGAGCACAGCTCCAAAGCCCTGGTAGTAAGTATGAGGGAAGCTGAGAGGAGTGACACTGCGGGAGCCCAAGAAAGAGCCTGCTGGGGTTCTCTGGTTTGCAGGAAGGGATGATCTGAAAGAGGGCCCAGAATGAGCTGGCCGTGGGGGCTTCTGTGTTGGCAAGGGTGGGGATAGACTTACCAGAGCAATAAGGTGTTTCTGCTGTTACACTACAGAGGGAAAGAGAGCTGCTGGCCTCAGCCTCACCCAGTGTAGGTGATCTGGCCAGGGCGCTGGGGTCTTCAGGCACATTTTCCCTGCCAGGCTCACGGTGGGGCTTTGGGAAGATTCCATAATATGCAATAATAGGGATCTGCAGCCATCTGTTCCATCTCCTGAAACATTCCAGGGGACAGCCGCCCAGCAGAGGCCAGGCTGGCAGCTAGGGTGTATGCTGTTTCCCCAGGAACAGGGGACTAGGTCTGAGTGACAGAGCTCCCATTACTCCCAGACTATGCAGAGGAAGCCCTGGCTAGAACGGAGGAGTGCTGCAGAGGGAGCTCTGCCAGCCCTTCCTAGCAGGGGCACTAGTAAAATGCACTTTTCACATTAAGTGTTTGTTCCATTTCATACCCTTCTTTCCCCTGTAGAGAAGTAAAAATCCCTATAACTTAGCAAATGTTCTGTTTGTTAACCACAGCAGCTCAAGCAGCCTGAACACCAGTTCCTGCCTGCAGCAGCGCATGTGCCTTTCCCTAGTGTCAAACTCACAACCACTCTGTCTTTCGGGCTGTTCTAGGGCCTGAAATTGTGCAGAGGAAGCTGCTAAAATGGCTCTGAATGCGCATTCTGTACAGGGAGTCTGAACCAGGGTGTGCTGTTGGTGCCGTGAATGTGCTGATGGTGGAGACCCCTCCGCTGCATTTATATCTGTGTGCGTTGAGGGGCGAGGACTGCACAGCTAGCCCCTAGCATCCTTCCCAGGCATGCTAGACCCCTCCAGACAGACACTGTACATCCCAGGTTCTCTCCACTTGCATAGCACCTTAGAGTCAGGGGAAGGACTGTTGTATACAAATGGCTTCGGGGTCTCGAGAAGTAGGGAAGTGCCACGCTGGGAAAATGGGCTGGGCTGACCCACAGCTAGGTGGTCTTGTAGATAAGTACTCAACCCTCAACTATAATCCCCAGTTATGTAATGGCTGTATTGACATGTAACCAACTGCATTGTATCTAAAGCCTTAGAACTAGTCAGGTGCTCCCCTCCAACCTTGTCCCAGCCCCTCTCTTCCTACCTGATCTCTAACAAAGCATTAATAATTCTAAGGATAATCTCTATTTTGTTGTGCTTTTTTTGTAACTGTTTTAAATAAATCAATTTGTACTGTATATTTGTACTTTTGGTGAGATCCTTTCCTGTTTTACCATTTTAAGTCTGTACTTGGCTACACACAGATTGTATTTTTATTGTTAATGCTCTTCTTATGAATATTGCATTTAACTTGTTGACTATGTAAACACAGTATATATCTATATATCTATATCTATATATAAACCAATAGTTTTTCCTTCTGTGTTTGCGACTTCTTGCTTCTCTATGGCACCCATGCTCCTTTGGGCATTTGGATGCAAGCCCCCTCTTCTTGTACAAAGTGATCTGGAGGCTGACAACACACGGGTAAGTAAGTGGCAAGAGCCTGCTAGTAAACATGGCTTATGATCAGTGTCTATGTTCAAACCCTTCTGCGCTGCATATCCAGTTCCTACAGCCATTCCTCTGGGCTAGCCCTGATCAGTAGCGAAGCCTAATCCGCTAATGCACTGTGGAGCAGCAGGAATAATGTTTGAAGGGCAAACATCACAGTGCATGGGGCTGTTAAAGGAGTAAAAAGGGATAGCGGTAAGAACAGAGGAAGAAGATCAGTGCCAACAGCAAAGGAAGAACTAAACAAGACAACACAGGACAAAGTGTATCTGACAAGGCCCAGAGAGGCAGTGCTTGCTCCTGGAAGTCAGCCCTCACAGTGACACATGATGGGGCAAGCAAATATCTCA